ACCTTTTCCGCTTGACTCGTACATATACTAGATATTGCAAATAAGGGAAACCATGGGACCTATGTTTCTTTGGGCCTGGCTTACTTCACTTCTAGAGTATGTCTTTTAAAAGCTAAAAGTTGTTATTTAAAAGAAGAGGTTAAGTACCAGTAGCTCACACTTGTAATTCTAGCTATTCAGCTACTCAAGAGGCTGAGATCTGAGATTCTTGGGCAGAAAAGTACTGAGACTATCATCTCCAATTCAGCAACAAAAAGCCAGAAGTGGAGGTGTGAGTCAAGTGGGAGAACCTTGAGTGAAAAAGCTAAGCAAGAGCATACGGCCATGAGTTTAAGCCAAGTACTAGCATCCTATTAATTAATTAAAATTTAAAAAACAAAAGTAGAAGAAAAATAAAGACTATGGCTTGCCCAGTACTGCAGCATATTGTGAAGTGAGAAGTGATTCTTTTCCAGGGGACAGTACCCATGGGGAACATGGAAGGAGCAAAGCTTAGTATTGCTGGGGATTGCTAAGCCATTCCCTATTTCCACCACCTACCTGGCTCTTCCATGTGAACAATGATCCAGTTGAAGGCGACTTCAGCTCCCATATTTCCAGTGAAGTACACAGCCTTCCGACATGCTTCTAGAGGAAAGCCCATCTCGGCCAGCTGCATCACTGATGACTCGTCGATGTCTGAGGCTACAAGAGCAGAAGACAACATTCAGCGTGAAAAAAATGAAATAAGGATACAGGTGGATCCATTGCAACAATGAGATGTACAAGTCATTATGTCGAAAATGAACTTTACAACTTTGGTGGGGGGTGGGGAGTGGGGAGGACTGGGGGGGATGCGGGGGGAGGACGGAAAGGGATGGGAAGGAGAAACAAAGGAGGAGGCTACAATGCTTGATAAGAAATGTACTCATTATCTTGCCCATGTAATTGTAACCCCTCTGTACAATATTTTCACAATAAAAAATAAATAAATAAAAAATGAACTCCTTACTTCTTGCCTCAGTCTTTCTTCATCCCTCTTCTCACTTACTACCAAGAAAGTATTTGCTTTTTAGAAGTGTTGTGCTAGCACTGGGCTTGAACTCGGTGCCTGGCTACTGTTACTTAGCTTTTTCACTCAAGCTTGTCACTCTATTACTTGAAGCACAGCTCTATAACTGACATTTTAGGAATTAATTCAAGATAAGAGTCTCACAAACTTTCCTTTGCAGGCTGGCTTCAAATCATGAGTCTCAGATCTCAGCCTCCTGAGTAGCTGAGATTACAGGCATGAGCCACAAGCATCTGGCAAAAAGTGTTATTATATTGAGTGTTTTGAGTCACCTAAATATTACGCTACCCTGAAAGAAGAAATGGTATCACTATCCTGTATTCAAATATGAGGAAACTGAGGCTCACAGAAGGCCAGTAAATATTTCAGGCCAGATAATCATAAACAGCAAACCCAGGGATGACCATTCTCATGCTCACAGTCCCAGTCCTGAGTCAAAAAGACTACTTAATCAAAGCCTTGTCTCTCCCAAAATGTGAGCTTATGCTGTAAAAATACAGTATATTTTTACAACCTTATCTGTATCTTTTTAACCTATATCAAATAGTTTGTGAATATAGACTAAACAAAACTGTTTAAAAAAGAAAAGACTACTTAATCAGCATCTCCATGGGTTGACATTTGCTGCTTACTTAATCTTCAAATGAAGAATCATTCCCACCCAGGGAAAGGCTACACATGCCCAGAACACAACCATGCCTCTTGTCTCAGACTAATGAAAATTATAGGATAACATTTTTAAAAAATACATACGGTCTATCAACTGGTTCATCAGGCGATCTGAAAAGTAAGGAAGCAAAGAAGAAAAATTAGAAAAATTCATGTCAAAGAGTGATTGATAAAGAACATTTCATTTACCACATGGTAACTCTACACAGACCACTCCAGCCTGCATAACATAACATCATTACATTAACAAGGTAAAAGAACAGGTTTCAGGCAGAAGAGATAAAAGTTTTGATTAGCATCTTAATGAGCTGAATAATTTCTCTCCGTGTATTTCTAAGAACTCTGCCTAATTACAAACTAATGTTCTGTTATAAGCAAAAAAGAGAGCAAGAGCAAGTTTAATAAACCATCCTGACTTCCCTGATGCTCAGTTGTCTCCTTGCTTTAACGCTTTTAAGGAGCCATCTGCTCCTTGACCTGGAAGTCAAGACCTGCAGTTCCCTTCTCTATTCTATGTCTCTACAATTTCACCTTTGACTTCGCAGGCCTGTCTTGAATCCTCTCTTGTTCCTCCTGGATTCATTTTACCCTTCATTTGTACAAGTAAAAATGACTGTTCAAGTATGGAAAGCCTTTGGTAGAAGGTCCACAGAGCTCCATCATTATTCGTTAATTTGCCTAATGAACTCATTAGGAAGATGAATGGTAAACAGATGAGCAAACAAAAACAGAATGAAACCAATTTCATTAGAGAAATTTTCTGACACTATTTTTGAACCCATAGAAATGCAGTTACTATCTTTTTCAGGTCTTTTTTCCTTTAAAAAGTTACATATTCTCACTGATGACTGCCTGAGCAATCACAAAGTGAACAAGACATCTAAACCAGGCCCTTGCTATGAAGCAGTGATGGGGTCAAGGAGGGGAGATATGATCATGACACTTAATACCAACACACTCAGCTGAAGTTCCTCCTAAGGTACCAGTAGCAAGTTTATACTAGTTTATACATTTTCTCAGATCACAACAGCTATTGTGATAATTCAACCCAAGGGAATAAGAATGAAGTTTGAAAGAAACTACTTGAATCTAAAGTACTTAGAGTACATTTTCCCCGTTTTCTTGGCTCAGTGGAAACTCACTAAAATACAAAACCTATCGGCCTAATATCATGTTAAGATTTAGAAGTGCATATATTCAAAGAAGAGAGTGGTTCAAGTAAGAGTAACAGCCTGCTGAAATCACACTCCTTCCTTCCCATATGGCAGAAGAGGAAGAGAGGGAGTAAACCCCAGAGGAAACATCAGCTAAAAGCTGTACAGGTGGCTCCTCATGATGGTTTGTGCCTTTTACAATGCATATTGTATTTTTTTTTTGTCTGGGGCTTGAGTGCAGGACCTGGGTGCTCTCCCTTAGCTTTTCAGTTCAAGTCTAGTACTCTACAACCTGAGCCACAGCTCCACTTGCCCCTTTTTTCTGGTTAACTGGAGATAAAGAGTCTCACAGATTTTCTGTCCAGGCTGGCTTTGAGCCACAGTCCTCAGAACTCAGCCCCCTAAGTAGCTAGGATTACAGGCCTGAGCCCACGGGCACCTAGCATGATGTGTGTCTATAATGGGTTGCAGCACAGGGAACTCCTGGTTAAGTAGTGGAAGAACGTAACTGTTCTCTGGAGGAGGGTGGTGGGTAGAGAATACCTTCCTCACAGGAGACAGTACCTTTCGAGTCTTCAGGAATGACAATGGGGGGGCTAATGTCTGGAAGTTCCTCCTCTCCTGGCTGTAACCCCCTGGCTCGGAGATGGTTGATATCAAGTAGGTCTGGCATATCAATAGAAACGTCTGCAAAATGAGAGAGAGTGATATCCAATGTGCTCACTAAAGATCCATAATCACCTTATTATAAAATCAGCACTGCTGGCTCTACATGCATGTGTCTAAGCAGAGCTCACAGATCACAGGACCAGCAGATTCATCAAGACTTAGATGTGGTTAATGGAGAACCTGGGGAAAGGACAGAGGGTGGCAGGATTTCACAATGAACAAGAACAAACTTGTAAAGCCACTTGTGGTCCAAACACATTGTGATGTTTTAAAAATGTTGGCAATTGGGCTGGGAAGGTGGCTCAGTGGTAGAGGGCTTGCCTTGCATGCATGAGGCCCTGGGTTCGATTCCTCAGCACCACATAAGCAAAAAGAAAAAAGCCGGAAGTGACGCTGTGGCTCAAGTGGTACAGCGCTAGCCTTGAGGTGAAGAGCTGAGGGACAGTGCCCAGGCCCAGAGTTCAGGCCCCACGAATGGATCCAAAAAAAAAAAAAAGATGTTGGCAATGTGTTCCACCTTATAAATCAGATTTACTTTTTTATTTTTTATCAATGTAGGGCTTGAACTCTTGGCCTGGGTGCTGTCCCTGCACTCTTCAGCTCAAGGCTAGTACTCTACCACTTGAGCCACAGCACCACTTCCAGTTTTCCAGTGGTTAATTAGAGATAAGAGTCTCATGGACTTTCCTGTCTGGGCTGGCTTTGAACCATGATCCTCAGATCTCAGCCTCCTGAGTAGCTAGGATTACAGGTGTGGGCCACCGGCCTTGGTCAGATTTATCTTCTTTAATTGCAATTTCTAACTAATTTGGAAAAACATAATGCTGTAGTATATTCTTATATGATAACAACTGTCTGACGTTCAGCTTCTACTCTGGACAATGGTACCCCACTATTTCCTAGTGTCTCTACAACCATGAGCATCACAGTTGTACTTTTCTGATTTTTTCAGTAGGGAAATGTTTCTTCTAATTTATGTCTACCCAAAATGGAAGCCTTACATTCTTGCTCAGGGCTGGCTCTCTACCACTTGAGCCACACCTCCTGTTCTAGCTTTCTGCTGGTTACTTAGACATAAGAGTCTCACAGAGTTGTCTGCCCCAACCATTTTCAAGCTTTGATCCTCAGATCACAGCCTCCTGAGTGGTAGTGCAGGCTTGGGCTGTGGGCTAAGGGCACTGTGTTTCTTATAGTCAGCCTACTTCTGCCATCTCTATCATTACTCTATTCTTGTTTGGTATTCAAGTGTGTAACTGCTAGTCTATACTTTCTCAGATCATGATAGTTATTGTGATCATTCTGAGGAAATAAATAATAAGGTTTTAACAAAATTAATTGAATTTCAAATCCTGGAGTACTTTTTTTCTGGAAACAAATTTTAGCTCGATGTTTACTCATAGAAATACAAAGTTTATCAGCCTATCGGCATGTCAAGATTTAGTACTGCACATATTCAGATAAGATAGGTATTCAAAATGGATTCAAATGGTTATGTGGAGGGTATCTTTGGGGCTAGTGAACACAAACTGAAAATGCTGACCCCAAAACCATGTATGCTGTCAGGCATATGAATCATATTTTGAAACAACGCAAAGAGCAGAGCTAAAGTTTGGGGGTTTTTTAATAGCAGGAGGCAGCAAAAACAAACAAAAGTCTAACCAACAAAATCAATATAGTTGTTCCTTAAATAACAAAATTCAAATTTATTAAAACTTCAGGTTCAGTTTTAGACTCCTTTAAACTCAGTAAGTTCATAAGATCTGGTTCAACGTTTTGGGTCCTTTACAGAAATTCTAAGGATGAAGAAAAACTTGTTTCCAACATAGTTCAAAGCATTCAGAACAAGTCCATTTCTCTCTCCCAGTATCCACCAGGGAAACTGAATGATCAGTGCCCCACTCTCAGACCCCTGCTTACAGAACTCCCCCTGGAAAAGCAAGGAGCCCTGCACATCAGAAAGCAACAACTGCCATGACAGGTACTGGGTGCCCAAGAGTGCCAATGTTCCTGGGAGATCTCTCTAGCTGAGTTTACATTCGTTGTACCTGTCCCCTTGCTTAGGTGCAAGGTTTACTAAAAGGCTTGTATTGTTTAGTTTCCTTAAGTCAAAAATACATAAGTAGTAGGAGACTGGCAAATATTCCGAGGTACCTGTTTGAGAAACCACAGGTCAATCTGTTTGGCTTTCCATAGCATGTCAGTCATAATGATGAGGGAAAAAAAATTGAATGCATTTGTTTGGAAAACAAGATAGTCCAAGACCTTTAACATTAGCAAGAAGTAAGCTAATGCAGCCAAAATAAAATATCTCTTGACAGTTTAATCCAGCTGTTTCTATTTGATTATTGATATGCATATACTTTAAGTGAATGTCATTAGCTGCTATTCCATGTGATCTTTGGGCAAGCATTACCCACAGCCCTGGAAGAGGGAAGAAGCTTAAGACCTGGACCTGCCAGCTTAGCATATGCATTTAATCAAGATCTTAGGGATTTTTTATTCACAGTAACATTTGGGAAATTATTTGATAGGGTGAGAGGCTTGTGTTTCCACTGTAAGAATTCATTCATTCCAGAACCTGTTATAGAAGCCGGGCGCCAGTGGCTCACGCCTGTAATTCTAGCTACTCAGGATGCTGAGATCTGAGGATCATGGTTCAAAGCCAGCCCAGGCAGGAAAGTTCATGACACTCTTATCTCCAATAAATCACTAGAAAACCGGAAGTGGTGCTGTGGCTCAAGCGGTAGAGTGCTGGCTTTGAGCTGAAGAGCTGAGGAACAGCACCCAAGCCCAGAGTTCAAGCCCCACGACCAACAAAAAAAAAAATACAACAACAACAACAAAAAAAAAAAAACAGAACCTGTTATAGGACAGCCAATGTACTGGAGTGTGGTTTTTCTTACTCTCAGTACTTATCACTTTCTCTGAGTCCAAAGACAAAGGTGGGAATAATAGGAAAAAATGAAATGGAACTGTTTGTGGCAGCCAGCTACATGGGCTCTTTCATATGCTGTGTGTGTGTGTGTGTGTGTGTGTGTGTGTGTGTGTGTGTGTGTGTGTGTTTGTGTGTGTGCGTGCGCATGCACGCATGCATGTGTGTCTATATGTGGTTAATTTAATGTTTTAAGCAAAAGCATGCAAAAGGTACCTACCAAATTTTTTTGGAACCCAGTCAAGACCAAAAGTGAACTTCTTTATCTGCACTACCAAGTATTCAGGGAATGAGGCAAAGCGAGATGTTCTGGGAAACACAAGGGGATTATATCAATCAAACAAGGCAAAAAGAAGGTGAATACAGTTTATGAAGCAAAACAAGCTTGGTCAATCCCAATGACTGGGCCAGGGAGGAGGAACACACAAGTCACATATGTGTGCACACACCCATTCGCCACTGCCTACTCCATCCTGCCAGAAGAAAGTACTGAATGTAGGAGATAGCTCAGAATGATTTGAGGCCCATTTCAAAATTCTTACTTAGTTGTCACATTTTATATTCCTGAAGGTGTTTTTCAATCATCTGTCTAAAATCTTTGCTGAAAAGTAGGACATATATTTGTAGGGGTTTATAGCCATGTGTACTGTGTGTCTGCAAAGCCCGCAAGTGACCTCCACTCCAATTGAGAATCACTCCCTATGGCACAGCAGAATCGGTGTAAGGAGGGTTTAGTAGAACTTGAGTTGAAGTTGACTACTGAAAATGCTAGGACCTCATTAATTACTGGTACACCTAAATCTGTAGTCATAGAGACCCTAGAAAGAGCTATATTATAGGGCCAATTATCTACACTATCTCAATCTCAGCCTTCACTCTTCAAATTGATAAATTACATGCAATGTGTTATACTTTTTCTAACTTTCAGAAAGTCTAAATTGCCTGGGCTTTAGGTACAGAATATTTAATTGGCACAAAATAAGATGCCCAGTTCCAGCTCACTTTCTTCACATTTAGCATCTTGTTTAAACAACCATTTCTATTTGATGGTCAGTGCAGACATGAGTTACATGAAAATAAAGACAATGAGCCAGACAGGCACTACAGGTAACTTCTAAAAAGAGGATTCTGGAACTTCCTCTCCTAATTCTCACTTTTTACTAAAGCTTGAACCCAAGACTTCAATTTTTAGCTTGGCTTTTTTTGCTTACAGCTAGGGCTCTACCATTTGAGCCATGCCTCCATTTCAGCATTTTCCTGGCTAAGTAGAGAAAAGAATCTTCAGGATTTGTATCCCCAGGTTGGCTCCAAATCTCAATTCTCAGATCTCAGCCTTGTGAGTGATTAAGATTGCAAAAGTAAGCCATAAGCACCCACACTGAGACTATCTTCTGTTTGGAATGTAGCCTACCAGTAATCCCAAAGCAAATTCCAATGTAATGCTGCCCCCCAGTGTAAAAGAAAAGCCATAGCATAGGGACAGAGTCAAAAGAGAAATCTCAGATCTTAAGGAGCCTATCCTTAAATCTCTCTAAATCTGAATAGACCACTGACCCTTGGAGTCTGTTTTTGCATCTAAAAATAAATTTACTAGTAGTGTCTATTTCCAGGACTGTGAAATATTCATAAAATGATGTAAAACACCTGGCACACTAGAAAGTATTGTTTGTATATGCCTAATAAACAGGCATGGATTTTGTCAATCCATGAGTTCTTAGACACTCATTTATCTGTCTGATGTTGACCTGTGCTTTAACCTAGACAAATTATAGAACCTCTCTTTATCTCAAATTCTCCATAAGCATGATAGAAGGATATAAACAGTGACATACAGGAGCTGTTTTAGAAAATAAGAGCATTCTCAAGGAGGAGGCTACAATGCTTGATAAGAAATGCACTCATTATCTTGCCCGTGTAATTGTAACCCCTCTGTACAGTATTTTCACAACAAAAAAAAAAAAAGAAAAGAAGAGCATTCTCATAATATTATTATCCTGGTTCTCTCCAGAAATTTATATTTTTGACAATTTTATGTGAATCTTCTGAGAAGCAGAAATAAACATCATGTTTATCATTATTATTGTTTTTATTTGGTGCAGGCCCTAGGGTTTGATCTCAGGGACTGGGCACTGTCCTTGAGCATTTTTGTTCAAGGCTGGCACTCTACCACTTGAGCTTCAACTCCACTGTTGGCTTTTTGCTGGTTAATTGGAGATAAGAGTCTCCCATTTTTCTGATTGGTGGCTTTGGACCACAATCCTCAGATCTCAGCCTCCTAAGATTACAGGAGTGAACTATTAATACTAACCATCATTCTTTTTTTATTTTTTATCAGTCATGGGGCTTGAACTCTGGGCCTGGGAGCCGTCCCTCAGCTCTTCAGCTCAAGGCTAGCGCTCTACCACAATTTCCAGTTTTCTGCTGGTTTACTGGAGATGAGTTTCACAGACCTTCCTGTCCGGGCTGGCTTTGAACTGCAATCCTCAAATCTCAGCCTCCTGAGTAGCTAGGATTACAGGTGTGAGCCACCAACATCTGGCCATCATTCTTATTTAAATGAAACAAGTCCTTTACTTTTTCTAAATCCAACAGACTCTATCTAGTATTATGATATTTTCAACTAATGTGAAAGTATTACTTTTCTGATCTTCTCTTTCTACATTAACTTAAAATCTAGAAAATATGTAAGAGTGAAAACAACCAAAAGTGACTGGTAAATCAATGGTTTGAAAAATGTGATTCAGGAGCCCTGTGACTCTTGGGAGTTTCTCTAGATGTCAGTATCTGGGTAAGGTTTCTGAGCATGGGAAAATGAGAGTAATTTAACACACAGCTTTTTGATGGTTAAGTACCAACTTACTAGCACGTGAAGTCAGACCAGATGGTTCCTACTATGAAACCTCTCACAGAGTACTAAGTTTAAGTTGTATCACACATGCAGTAACTGCTCATATACATATATGTATATGATTTTGCATTTAACACTTTGAAGACATCAGATTTATGATTAAATTAAGCACAGTCATAAAATTATGCTTTGCATGCTCTTTTATTCCTAAAATTAACTCCTAAGATTACATTTTTTTCTTGGACAGCTTCACATTTTTAATAAAAGCAATCAGAATGTAAATCATTCGAAGAGGTTTAGATGGACACAAAATGTACTTCCAAAAGTTGCTATGGGAATTAAAAAGTTATGACATATAAAGTGCTCAGAATAGGTCCTGGTAATACTATTGGGTTATTAATTGGTAATCTATTAAAATTACTTTAAATGTCACTTGTTGAGTGATTGTGACTAAGGTAAACAGACTATGAAGATCTAATATGAAAAAATTCCAAGCTTTTCCTCTCACCAAAATTATTAAGATTATCAGTGTATTGAAAGCCTGGAACTCTCTATGGAGCCCAGGTTAACCTTGAATTCTTGGTCCTCCTATCTCAGCCTCCCCAATGATGAAACTGTATGTCTACACCACTATGCTCACCACAAGATATATAATACATATTTGCCTCTTTCTGGCCATATAGGCTTGGGACTTACAAGAAGAAAGTTCAAAGTCTAAAACAATAAAATATGGCTGATTCATACTCTATACTGCTGAAAATAAATTAAAAACAAAGAATTTTTAAGGTTTCCACCAAGGGGTTCTGCCATGTGACTATTTGAAACATGATAGAGCATCATCCAGAATATGTCCAGGCTATAAATGATACACACATAAGTGGGCCTAGAAAGGAATATGAACATCCTATATAAATCAGGGATGAAGACTTCAATCCCTGAATCCAACCACACTTTAATGACTTGTAAGTCTGCTACTCACTGGCCAGTTACTTCTCCTTCTGTTGCCCAATCTATAAAACAGGACAATTGTACCTACCTTACTGAATCATTTAGGATGACTAAATATGGTCACTGATGGGAATAATAAATGTACAATAAATTGCAATTGTTTTTATTACTTATAATTTTTTTCATTTCCCAAGAGGACCATTTTTTTCAGTTATTAAGTATCACAGTAACCTAATACTAATTCCTTACATATATGTAAAAAGAATATAGAAGAGCATATATATATGCAGAGAATAGGGAAAAATACATCTACCATCTACTTTTAAAGAAACTTCTTCTCAATGATTCTAGGTAGTTCTGTTAGCACTGCCTGCCACTGAATGCTTTGTAGTATTTGAAGAGAAATTTGGGTCAGCAACTCCTCATGACAGAGGAAAGGACACTGGTGGTGATTTTGCCAAGGATAGAAGAGAAGCCAGGAAGTGGAGACAGGATAAGAATCAGGATCTCCTGACCACTACTGGGGCTTAGAGAATCCATCTTTGGAAAGCCAGTGTCATCTGATTCCTTTTAAAGATGGGCCTTTTCCAAATGTTGAGAATGGTCCTTCTGGCAGGACACAGACAGGGAGACAGGCTTAGAGAATAGGCCACACCCAGCACCCTAAAATACCAGGCCACTGTTGAGAAGAACAGGAGGAGGGGTATCAGGAGTCAGGGAAATGAACACTCCTACTCTAACTTATACCTGAGACATGGGGTTTGCTAGGCTTACTGATCCAACCATCACTTTGTACCTCCCATACAGAATCAAAATAAAAGCACAAAAAGAAAAGGATAATTGTTTGAGGAATCTTCAACCTAGTGTCAATGTCAATATGGCATATAGATTTCTAACTACTCAGAAGTTGCCTCAAATTGCATTTAGCAGGGCCAACTTACCAACTAAACAGACCCACAAACATGCACATACAACACACACACCTACATACCACAACTAGGCAGTCTGTATAACAAGGATGACAGCTGATAAGTGAATTAATCCTCATTTAATTCATGAGTAGTATTAATCCTCATTTGAATATGAAGTTTTTGATAACTTATTTTAAGAAAATATAGCTTATTTTATAGAGATTTTGTCTATGTACTACTAGAGATTTAGCCATATTAGGCAAATACTCTTATTATGGAAGCTATACCATCAGCTCTTACTTTTTTGAAGTAAATTGTTATGCTTTCCCTTTTCTTTTGCCAGTCCTATGGCTTGAACTCAGGGCTTGGGCACTGATCCTGAGAGTTTTTGCTACAAGGCTAGTGTTCTACCACTTAAGCTACAACTCCACTCGTAGCTTTTCAGTGGTTCATTTGAGATAAAAATCTCACAGATTTTCCTGCCTAGGCTGGCTTTCAGTCATGATCCTCAGATCTCAGCCTCCTGAGTAGGTAGGATTACAGTATGAGGCACTGGCAAGTGGTTGCTTTTCCATTTTTAACTTATGAAGTCTCTTGAGCAATAGGCTCTACAGAATCATTGTCTTAGGTCTGTCTGCTACTTGAGGTCATAACAAACACAGGCAGTAGCTGATCTGATTTCAATCCTTGACGCAAAGAGAAAGGTCTAAAGAACATCTAAAAGAAGCAAAATTCTCAAAGCCAAACTTACAAACTTCTCCTTAATTTATGCCTATCTCTTTTTTTGTTATTTTTGTTTTGTTTTATATTTTATTTATTTTTTTATTATGAAAATACCATACAGAGGAGTTACAATTAAATGGACAAGATAATGAGTACATTTCTTATCAAGCATTGTTGCTTTCTCCTTTGTTTCCCTTTCCTATCCCTTCCCATATCCTGAGCTCCAACAGCTCATTTCACAATGCTTACCAGTTATTTTGTTGTTGTTTTGTTTATGTGTCTACTGGGCCTGAACTTAGAGACAGGTTATTCACTATCCCTTAGCCTTTTTGCTCAACAATGACACTCTACCACTTGAGCCACAGCTCTACTTCTAACATTCTGCTGATTAATTAGAAATAGTCTCTTGGACCTTCCTTCCCAAGCTAGCTTCAAAATGACATCCTTAGACCTCAACCTCCTAAGTAGCTAGAATTACAGGCATGTGCCGCTAGTGCCCAGCACATAGCAGTCTTTATGCCCACTTGAGATTCCTAAGATTCCTACTCTCTAAGCAGGGACACATAATCAATTTCTAATCCTAATCCTAAATGTAGAAATAAGAGCTATCATAATGAAGTTTAACTACTAAAGCTTCATATAAGCACTTTTATAATTTCTTCATTAATAATAATTCTGGCAATTTGGAAAAAGGTATTAGGCATAATCTATGAGAATAGATAAATTTATGAGAATATATCCCACCCAAAAGAACATGTAGGCACCACCCTCTCCAAGACTCCCTTCCCCCACTACCACCCTGCACATACTCACTTCACACCAGCAGACTTGGCTTGGAGGGCACTGCTCCAAAAATCGTCAACATTTTCTGGCTCAGAAAAGGCTTGAAGGCAAGCACTGAATGGTATTTTGGCATGCACCAACTCAGGCAGGGGTCTTCTATTAGCTTCTGCTTCTCTTCTTGTTAATTCATAGGCAATCAATTCATCTGAGAAAAGAGAAAATGAAAGACTTTAAATTCCTCTTCTTGAAATAGCAAATACTCCCTTTAGATAATTTTCCCTGGGGATCTCAGGGCTCACACCTTTTCATAGGCCCTTAACCACCTTACTGAAGAAACTGAGGCCCAAGATCAAAACCGGCCAACCTTCAACAAAGCTGGACTTAAAACTAATCAGTACTACTGTGTTCCCCTACAGATAAGGCCAGAGATGGACTGTCAGTTGAGCCAAGGATCAAATTTTACTGATGATCAGATATACAAATAAAAATAAAAACAGTATTAACCTCAAGTTGTCCTAAAAGAAAATCACCAAGAGAAATGAGCAGAAACCCAGACAAAAGAATTACCACAATGGCCAGACCAAAGGCCACCCCGTGATACAAGCAGCATGGCTGAGATAGCTTCTTATTGATGTTACCACTGCCTGAGACATCAGAACAACCAGTTTGGAAGGCCTCAGTCTGTAAGATCACTACTGAATGACCTCATGCTAATGGGACAAAAAGTGAAAGTTCTATGAGCTTCCTACAATTCACTAAATCTGCTCCTGGAAACTAAGTGGAGTAAAAATTTTGCAGAGGTATTCATCAGGAGCCTTTCTGGTCAGTTCTCATATATATAAATGTATATACACACATACATATATATACACATACATATATATATATATATATACATACGTGCATATATATACATATATACATGCATACATATATATATGTATATGTGTGAAATATATATAAGAAAATATCTTTATATATATGTATGTATGTGTATATATATATATATCTTAAGCACATTGATTCACTTATGTGTTTGCCCAAAACACCTCTGAACTGCTTTTAAAAAAAATCATTCCCAGTGAAGGATCTGCCTGCAAACCTAGCTACTCAGAAGGCTGAGATCTGAGGATCACAATTCAAAGCTAGCTTGGGCAGGAAAGTCCATGAGACTCTCATCTCCAACTAACCACCAAAAAACCAGAAGTACAACTGTGGCTCAAATGGTAGAGTGGCCCCGGCTATGAGTTCTAGCCCCCAAACTGGCACATTCCCTAGGCCACATCACTTTGTACTTATATCTAACATGTTAACATTAAGTGTTAGACAGAGACTTCCAAAATTAAATTATAAATACTCTTTATTTTAAAAATGTTATAATCCAGGAGATGGTGACTTATACCTGTAATCCTAGCTACTCAGGAGACTAAGATCTGAAAATCACAATTCAAAGCTAGACCATAAAGCAAAAAGCCAGAAGTGGAGCTATTGCTCAAGATGTAAAGCATCAGCCTTGAGCTAAAAAGCCAAACAAAAGCTCAAGGCTGTGAGTTCAAGCCCAACATCAGCAAATATACACACAAAAAGTTATTACCCAGGGCTGGGAAGGTGGCTCAGTGGTAGAGCGCTTGCCTTGCATGCTCAAGGCCCTGGGTTCAATTCCTCAGCACAACATAAGCAAAAAATAAAAAGCCGGAAGTGGCACTGTGGCTCAAGTGGTAGAGCGCTAGCCTTGAGCTGAAGAGCTGAGGGACAGCGCCCAGGCCCAGAGTTTAGGCCCCACGACAGGACCCAAAAAAAAAAAAGTTATTACCCATAAGTTTTAAGTAGTGAGTTAGAGAATGTTGTAGAACTGTAAAAGTTGTTAAAAATCTAAACAGAGTAACTTTTGTGGACAAAAAACAAAAATTACATAAAGCTGGCAGGACACCTGAAGCCTATGTATGATAATAAGAACATTCACAAGAGACTGTCAAAGCACAGCCTGGCACAAAGGCCACCATAACATTATCAGTACACACTTCTGTGAAAACACCCGTACAGCCTTATACCATACAACCCTTCTTACTGACCCATGTGGCCAAGGATTGTTTATTCTCTAAACACTTATGTAATCCTCTCATTCTCCCCTTCATATTGTTCCTTTGCCTCAATCTCTTTAAATACATATAAAGATTCCTACAGCGTACATATTTTTTCTCGTTGCAATTCTAATACTCCCAAATTTATGAATCTTCAGAGAATCTTTCTGGTTTTAGGCTGACAGACTGAGAAGAACCAGTAACTCAGTAGCATTGAGGTAGGCAAGAGAAAGCTACTGGCTCTGGCTCTACAGGGAAACAAGTCACACACTACAACCTTTACTCAATCTTGTTACTGGATTAGAGTTTTAAAACTATCAAAAGCTACTTGAGCCAGTCACCAGTTACTCACACCTATAATCCTAACTACTCAGGAGGCTGAGATCTGAGGATCTCGATTCAGAGCTAGCCCAGGCAGGAATGTCCGTGAGACTCTTACCTCCAGTTAACCACTAGAAAGCTGCAAATGGCACTGTGGCCCAAGCGGTAGAGTGCTAACCTTGAGCTGAAGAGCAGAGGGAAAGCACTCAGGCCCAGAGATCAAGCCCCATGACCAAACAAAAAAAGCTATATGAGCTTATAGAAGATGCAAAGGATGTCAACTTAAAACCATAAGAATCATTACTTTCCAATTACCATAATAAATTGAGCTCCACAGAAATGAGGGAAAGAGGCCATCTAAGGAAGTATTGAATGTTAAAAAAAAAAAAAAACAGTTTACAGAGATAAGTAATCTAGGAGTCATTTACTTTTTTTCTGCACTAAGAAAGTCATGCTGTGCTCTGGTGACATGCCTATAATCATAGTGACTCAGGAGGTTGAGATGTAAGAATCCTAGTTTGGAGCCAGCCCAGGCATACAAATCTGAGAGTCCCATGAAAGCAGAAGGCCCTGAGCTCAAGTCTCAGTACCACAAAATAAAAATACCAGTCAGGCGCCAGTGGTTCACAACTATAATCCTGGCCACTCAGGAGGCTAAGATCCAAGGATCATGGTTGGAAGCCAGCTCAGGCAGGATAGTCTGTGAGTCTCTTATCTGTGATTAACCTCCTAAAAAATCCCAAGAAGTGAAGCTGTATCACAAGTGGTAGAGCACCAGCCTTGAGCAAAAATATCAGTGACAGCACCCAGGCCTTGAGTTCAAGCCCCAAGACTGGCACAAAAAAAAAATCCACAGAAAACAAAACAAGCAATCTATTCTGCCTGGGAAGAACTATCAGACTGATAGAAGAAGGAATCATCCTTTGAGACCCTGGAACCTGGTGTGAGTGCCATATCTCTGCTTTCTTCTCCTTCCAAAGCCCAGAGACTCCCTGATGATCTGATGATCATGTTCCTTCAAAGTGGCCTGCCATAATTCATCTACCATTGGAGCTACCTTAGGTACCCAATGCTAAAGTTAGACTATATAATGACCTCTGCTTGAATGTCTAGCATAAAAAAAATTGTTGCTCTGATCATTTCCCTCAGACTTTCTGGCAGCATAGATGACTGTGGATATTAAAGAATCATAAGAAACTGTCAAACCACAGTCTTGCACAAAGGTCACCATAAAATTATACAGGAAATACTTCTCAACTTATTATGGTAATTGGAAGGTGATGGTTCTTATGGTTTTAAGTTGACATGATTTGCATCTTCTATAAGGTCATGTAGCTTTTGATAGTTTTAAAATTCTAATCCAGTACACAAGGTTGCAATAAGGGTTAGGGTGTGTGGTTTGTTTCCTTTAGAACAATAATCAGGCACTTTCTCTTGCCTACTTTGATTTACCCACAAGATACACTCAATTCACCCACAATTTACTACCAACAATTTACCCACAAACTTCACTCATTCCAATGCAATGAGTGGGCTGCATATAGGCATTAAGTAGGTTCCATAGATGCATTTGAGCATTCTTAGAAGACAATGACATGGGAACTCAGGAAGTCATCTTATATCTATTACCCTTGTTGGTTGCTGCCTCCATAGCCACTGGTAACTGCATCAAGTAGTCCACCCTCTCTGTGTAGCGAACTTTCCGAGTCTGACAGCACTGAATTCGTTCTTCCACCAAAAATCGAAAAACATCACTTGGATTTTCTGAGCCAATGCGGTTCCTCTAAAAATTGGATTGTGTCCAGTTAGTAAATTTAAGAATAGTAAACCATGAGTAAAAATTAGCATGAAGATCTAGCTTTACCAAACATTTCATGTAGTTATGATAGCTCACCAGAGTCCCTTAATCAGAAAAACACTGGAATTTATCTAAAATTTATCTAAAAATGGGGAATTGGCTAAATTCTAGTTCATCTGTGAAGTACCATTGACAGCTATGGGAAAAGCAAAAAGGGCTAGGAGGTATGGCTCAAGTGGTAGAGCACAAAGCCCTGAGTTCAAATCCTAGTACTATCAAACACTCATGAGAGAAGGGCTGGCATAGATTAAATTAGAAAAAGGAAAAAGGAATAAAATTAAAAAGCAGAAAAAAATAAAGCCCTGGGGCCTAGCACTGGTGGCTCATGCCTGTAACCCTAGCTACTCAGGAGGTTAAGATGTAAGGATCATGGCTTAACGCAAGGCTGGGCAAGAAAGTCCATAAGACTCTTATCTCTAATTAGCCACCAGAAAGCCAGAAGTGGAGCTGTGGCTCAAATGGAAGAATACTAGCTTTAAGCAAAAAAAACAAAACAAAAAAAAAACCTCAGGAATAGTGCCCTGGCCCTGAATTCAAGCTCTAGGATCAGAAGAAAAAAAAAAGTATTGTCCAAGAAAAATAAGGTAAAAATGTGTTCATGAAAATTACACACAAATCAAAAAGAAATATTGCTATATTAAAATATGTGATGTGTAAGCTGGTACCAGTGGCTCATGCTACCCAGAAGGCTCAAATCTGAAGATCCTAGTTCTAAGCCAACCCCAGTTACCTTCAGTTAACCAGCAAAAGGCTGGAAGTAAGAAGTATGACTCAAACGGTATACTGCCAGCCTTCAAAAAAAGACCAAGGAAGAGCACAAGACCTTGAGTTTATTATTTTTTTAAAGCACATGTAATGTAACAACATGCTCACATCAAGTTACAGAAAAACACTGCTTACAAAACACAGGTAGAAAATTTATACAAAACCTGGAAAATGACTTGGGGACTCTGATGTCAAAATGTTAACACCAGGAGTAACTACTATGGGGTGTTTTCTCCTTTATTTTTCTATTACATTTCCACAACACTTATAATTGGGGGGGGAGTTGTTTTTGTAAGGGCTTTTTTTTGTCAGTCGTGGGGCTTGAACTTGGGGCCTAGATGTTATCCCTGAGCTCTTTTGCTCAAGGCTAGCACTCTACCACTTGAGCTACAGCACCACTTCCAGTTTTCTGGTAGTTAATTGGAGATAAGAGTCCCACAGACTTTTCTTGCCTGGGCTGGCTTCAAACTGTGATTCTCAGATCTCAGCCTCCTGTGTAGCTAGGATTATAGGCACAAGGCATCAGCACCTAGCTTAAGGGCTTTTTAAGAGATTGGGGGTAAACTTTATTCAGGAAAATCACAGCATTTAATTTGACTCTGCTAAGCAAAATCTAATCACCACATTGAGGTCACCAAAAACCACAAGGGACTCATAAGGAGCACCATTCATATACCTAACAGTCCTACAATAAACACAGATCAGAAGCCACACAAAAAAAGCCAACCAGTATCTGGAACCCAGAGCCTGAGGGGTGGCTAAATCAAGTGGATTAAGAATAGAAATCCACCAAGAGTCCAGTGAGACACCAGAGTGAGAAGGGGGTTTAGAGGTGTCAAGGTACAATGTGCCAAGGGAGTGGAACACTTCTTTCTACCCTGCTGGGGAATTTGAAGGCTTACCTCTACAAGATTCACCAAGTGCAAGAAAAACTCCTGAGCATCTTGCTGTCTGTTGGAAGAGAATTCTGGGTGGCTCTTGCTGACAAAGGCTTTAAACATACGTGGAGAGATCCCATTCTGTTGAGGCTGAAGTACAAACAAAAGTTGACTTGAACTTCTCGCATACACATTAAAAATCCTAAATGGTGAGGAGAGCAAGGCTTACTCATATCCCCATTTCACAGATGAGAACAATAAAGCCAAAAAAGGCCAGCCAGCACTCACTGAGTTCACAACATTCACATACTAGGCTCTGCTCAATAACCTTACATAAGACCAGGATAGGACTCTTCCTGTGAACCAAAACAAAGCATGGTGCTGGATGTCCGTGGCTCATGCCTGTAATTGTAGCTACTCAGGAGGCTGAGATCTGAGGAGCAAGGTTTAAAGCTAACCCAGGTTAGAAGAGTCTGTGAGACTCTTATTTCCAATTAACCAACAAAAACTCTGAAAGTGGAGCTGTGGCTCACATGTGAAAAAACTAAGCAAGAACACAAGGCCCTGAGTTCAAGCTTCAGAACTGGTGTGTGCATGCACACACGCACACGTGCAGATACACACACACACACACACACACACACACACACACACACACCTAAGATAGGTGGATGACACGATACCATAAAATATGAGGCCCATCCTCACAGGACCTGCTACACATTGTCCAAACTGAGGCATCACAGCCCACGGAAGAGGGGGCTTCAGGTGGAAGTGAAGGAGAGGAGCCCTTAGCAACATCACCCTTCCATGCCCCTCTGAGGATAAGAGAGAACCTCTCAAAAATGGTGCACTCACAGACACTACCAATGCTAATGCTTCTTTATGCTGTGTCCTAAGACTCCTGAGTTTGGGAAGAAGAAGACACATTAGAATGGTGTGAACTAGACTTTTGAAAAAAATTATCTTTAAGTAGTTGTACAAACAAGTTGCCATCCAATGATGCAGTATATAAATACATTGAATCTTGATCACTTCTTCTATCATTCTCTCCCATCCTCCCTTCCAACCCCACCCCTTCCCTCGATTCTTATTCGTATTCACTAGAAATCTAAGGAACCTACTAAAGACTTCACTTTTGCTGATAGAGGTAGGCACTGAAGAGCTGTTAAGCCACCCAACAGTGCCAACACTTGCTACCTCATTAATACAATAGAAAGAGCATGCCACATTTATCCTCGCTTAGGAGAACCAACTGGTAGAGAAGTGCTAGATAGACCTTCCAGGTCAAAGGGTCCTGATGATGACCACACTGCCACACAGCTAACAATGCATAAACACGTGCGCTCTGGAAGCAGCTTGGACTCTGGTCTAGACTACTGACAGCAAAAGCAAAAAGGTGGCCCTACAGCACCTGCTGGATCTCAGCCACTTCAGAAACAGGCCAAACTGAGACTCCTGTCCTCTCTGCACAGCCATTATTGTGGGTGTTTTGATAACACCTATGTTTGCTTGGCTTCTAGGCCATATCCTCCTTCTCTGATGTTCAGACAGCTTGCATCTGGGCCATCACTTAGCTCATAGCATAAGCTGTCTTCTACTTCCTCAGAATTTTTGGCCAGCATCTGGCCCACACATCTCTGTACCTGCCTGCAGCAGTTAGCAGATAAAGACCTTGTCTGTCCTGAGCTCTTGTGAGTTCTCATGGAAATCCAAGTTAAAGCCTATGGCCCAGAGTCTGTGGCGACTTTGAAGATAAACGCAGCTCTATATAACTTCTTCAACAAGCATGTTCTAAAAAACAGCTTCTAACTGAAATCTGGTGAGTATTCCTGACTTACTGAAAACCTTTGTGGCCAATTGTCTATTATTGAGCACGACCTTCAAGCAGAGCCCCTTGGGGAAATCTGCCTTCAAGAATGTATACATATATCTATAGTAAATGGTAAAGAACACTAAAGAGGTCCGGAAAGAATGCTAGTAACCCTTGTTTCCCCAAGTGGACATCTGAGGACTCACAACCTGTACACAAACAACCAATATATACACAAATAGATGACTTCAGTTGTGTTTGAGTGCTAGGAAGCTGATTAACTCTTGAGCTAATTAATTCTACCACCTGGAAACTATGCTGGTATATGTCTATATAGTAACAGTGTAACAATGCAGGTAATAACAGTGCCATTTCTTTGAAAACATTTACACATTCATTCCACAGGTAGTTACTACTTTAAAATATCAGGCACTATTCCAGGTGCTTGGATAAACATTTCCTGGGTACCAAGCACATTTCTTCATATACTTTATATGTGTTACTTTTTAAAATTAGCCCAGTCCCATGAGGTGATGATGATCATTATTATTATCCTTAGTAGACAGAGGAAGAAACAGGCACAGAGGTCCAGGGTCAAACAGCTGGAAAAGCCCACTCCCTTCTACAGTATCCCAGTGCTGTTTGAGAACACATGTGCCTAGCTCTCACCAAAATTACATCTTACCAAAGGAGAAGAAAGCGAGTCTTAGACTCAGGGTAAGCCTTCAACCCCACACATGAGCCAACATTGTATGTCAGTCCAGCAATTACTGCTTGACCCAGAATCAACAGTCTCTGCTAACTGGGAATGTATCCCTTCACATGTGTTTAGGCATTCATGAAAGCATGTATGTACAGCTTGATACTACAGGTGTCATTTTTTACAAGTTGTGATTTCAGATTGGCTTATCTACCACTCAGCAACACAGAGGATTGAAAACAGCTGCTTGAAGACGGGGCATCATGGCTCATAACTCTAACCCTACCTACCAATGTGGCAGAGATCAAGAAAATCATGCTTTGAAGCCAACTTGGGCAAAAAAAAGTTAGCAAGACCCTATCTCAACAAAGAACCCAAGCATTGTGATAAATGGCTGATCCCAGTTATGCAGAAAAGCCACAGGTAGGAGGACAGCAGGCCCAAATTAACCTGGGCAAAAGCTATACTTGTACTACCTGAAAAATAACTAAAGAGCAAAAAAGATCAGTAAACATGGCTCAAGTGGAAGAGTACCTGCCTATCAAAATGAAAGGCTCTGAGTTCAAACCAGTACCACATTAAATTAAGTGAAAATAATAACATAAAATAAATAAGTAAATAAATAATAAAATAAAGCAGCCCCGCTTTGGAAAGTTGAACAAGTCAGTTGAACTGATGAAACTGCTCTCTGTGCCACCACTTTGTCACAAAACCAGGAAGAGAACTTTTAATAAAGACAATGGGCGGGCTGGGAAGGTGGTTCAGTGGTAGAGCTCTTGCCTTGCATGCCTGAGGCCCTGGGTTTGATTCCTCAGCACCACATAAGCAAAAAGAAAAAAGCCAGAAGTGGTGCTGTGGCTCAAGTGGTAGAGTGCTAGCCTTGAGCTGAAGAGCTGAGGGATGGCGCCCAGGCCCAGAGTTCAGGCCCCACGACTGGACCCAAAAAATAAAAATAAAAAAAAGTAAATAAAGACAATGGGGATGGACACTAGAAGGTCCGGATTGTGGCCTAGTCTCATTCTTCCACTTCCCAAACCTCTTTCTGTGTTCATTTCTTTGTTTTTCCAAAACATGCCTTCCTTAATACTTTATGAAGCAGTCAAACAATTCCTTAGAACTACTGGTCACTTAGAAGTTAGTTAGGAAAGCTTCCTAACCATAGAAGTGTTACTTCTTCCTCTATACTAGCTCCTGGGCTACACAGCTGGATTCACAAGTAGTTTAAACTCAGCTATGCCATCCTTAATGCCTTGATCATCAGCAGGCCCAGTCTGTGTACACCTAATCACACTCTCTCTCATTTCAGAGCTGAGGTCTTGCTGTGTGCCAGTGCCTCATGTTTTTAATCCTAGTTATTCAAGATCTGAGGATCTCAGTTAAGTGCCAGCCCCGACCCCCCCCCAAAAAAAATTGAGATTCTTATTTCTAACTAACTGGCAAAAAAAAAACAGAGAAGAAGCATGGCTCAAGTGATAGAGTACCAGCCTTGAGTGAAAAATCCCACCAAAGAGTCCTGAGTTCAAGCCCCATTTCTGGGACATACACAGACACACACACACACACACACACACACACACACACACACACACGATAGGTCTAATTCTCAAACTCAGCCATTGCTGTGTTCAGTTCATATTTAACAAGCCTCAGGATCTAACTCATAAGAAATACAAGCTAAATACTGCCTCAAGTAAAAAACATTTAGAACAATCTTAGGACAATGACCCAACTTCTCCAACAAATCAAGAGCTTATAAAAAGGAAAGCAGGACTTGTTCAACCACTTTGGAAAGTAGTATGGAGGTTCCTCAAAAGACTCCATATAGAGCTCCCCTATGACCCAGCAATCCCACTTTTGGGCATTTACCCAAATGTTTACAAACAAGACCACACTAAAGCTACCAGCACAACTATGTTTATTGCAGCATTATTTACTATAGCTAAGATATGGAACCAACCCAGATGCCCATCAGTAGATGAATGGATCAAGAAAATGTGGTATATATACACAATGGAATTCTATGCCTCCACCAGAAAGAATGGCATTGCCCCATTTGTTAGGAAATGGAAAGACTTGGAAAAAATTATATTAAGTGAAGTAAGCCAAGCCCAAAGAAACATAGGTCCCATGGTTTCCCTTATTTGCAATAGTTAGAATATGTATGAGTCAAGCAGAAAAGGTCAGATAAGGTGATGTTAGGGAAATGAACCATAAGATATGTATTTAAATGTTTTTTTTGTTTCATGCATTTGTTTCTAACACATTTATAAGATTATTTCTTTGTTGCTTTGTATGTCCCTCCACCACAGTATAACCCCTGCTTTCACTGTATTTGATGTCGGTATAATTTGTGGAGGGGAAGGGAAAAAACAAGTCATTTAAATAAGGATACAGGTGGACCTGTTGCAACAATGAGAAGTACAAGTTATCATCTTGAAAACGAACTTTACAACTTTGGTGGGGGGGCAGGAGGAAGAGGGAAGAGGAAACAAAGGAGGAGGCTACAATGCTTGATAAGAAATGTACTCATTATCTTGCCCATGTAATTGTAACCCCTCTGTATAGTATTTTCACAATAAAAAAATAATCCATTAATAACATTTATATTAAGGACATAATAAAGTGATAATATTTAAT